ATTTAAAATAATGTTCTTATTGTGGAAAGTATATAGATTTAGGGGCGGGTACTTGTTAATAATAATAATAATAATATTGGTGATGATGATGATGATGATGATGATCCTTCACTGAGAAGAAACGTTGAACATGAGACCCTAAATTTGATAATTTTTGTCTATATTTCTGAGATGAGGTATTATGTACTCTATTTACATTATTCGGACTATTGTCCGCATATTTGTCGCCATGTTTATCACAACGTTTTGGCCGTTATACGCTCCGGCCTTCTTCAGGTGAAATCAGTACATATGCTAGGCCGCAAAAATCTCCTGGGCCGACCAAGCATAGAAATGAATACAATATAGGAACCAGTAATAAGGAGTGCCAGAGAAAAGCGATAATAACAACAAAAATTGCACTGTTAGCTCTGGTAAAAACATGTAATCATAACAGTAAAAATTGCAATATGAGCACTGGTAAAAACATGTAATGATAACAGCAAAAATCGCAATATGACCACTGGTAAAAAATGTTTTCCTGATGACATTATGTTTATAATACACATAAAATTCATATACAGATGTCCTCAAGGACACATGGCACAGTGAATAAATGCGATGGTTAGATCCAGTGAAAGGACCCAAAGAGTGTGATTCCATTACCCGGTGGATAACTTCAAGAGGAGAATTAACAGGAGATTGATAACTGACATCCATTAAACATGGCACGTGGAACTAGACAGTCTACCCCAATGAGCGAAATAAACATTTCAGTTCGACATTCCAAATGCCTGAAGAAGGCCGGAACGTACAATGGCCGAAACGTTATGATAAATATGGCGGAATAATAATTGATAATTTTTAGGCACCCGACGTGTCCAGACATAAGCGTTCAGCCGATTTCATTTAGTTCACCAACGCTTTTTTTTCTTGTTATTAAATATCCCAAGATTTAAAAAAAGGTGAAATGCTAAGTAATTATAATTTAATCATAAAATAATATCATTCTCTTGAATTAATTATAAAGTTTAAATTTTCATATTTAGATTTCAGCATAAAAGAACCCATGTGTCGAGCTCCAATGTTCACTATCATATGGATTAACTAGCATATATATTACGCAGCAATTCGGCACATTTTCTTTGTTTCTAAGGATATTTTTTCTGTTTCCTTAATACTTTGCTTACTTTCTGAAAAGTTTATTTCGTTATTTTTATTTGCCTTCCGATTTCTGTGTCACACGTTTGTCCTCTGTTACTGTACTAAATAAATTCCTACATTGCTTGATTTTTACGTCACACTACGGATCGCTCACATGAGGCTGTGTCCTTTGCTGACAAGCAAACATTCTATCGTCTTGCACTTAATGGTTAATCGTTTCCTCTTGCACACCTCAACGAACTTGTTTAATAGTTCTGCCAGTTTTCTTTCTGAATCTACCATCAGTAGAGGGTTATCTGCGTAGCGTAGATTATTCAGGCTATATATATATATTTTAATCATTTCATCATAAGAAGGAGGATAAAGTTTCTTCAATGTTACTGAGAGTAAAAGGAAATTGAGAAAACTATAGTGAGGAGAGACGACATTAAAAGAACAAGATTCAACATTGATATTGAATTTAAATTGATATTGATATATTGAGTTAATTCATATATTGAATTGAAGATTGATACTGAATTTAAATTGATATTGATATATTGAATTAATTGATATACTGAATTCAAGATTGATCCTGAATATAAGTTGATATAGATATATTGAATTAATTGATATATTGAATTCAAGATTGATATTGAATTTAATTGATACTAGCAGCATGGCCCGGCGTTGCCCGTGCTTGATTCAAAAATCGTACAACTCATACAACAATCGATATCACTTGACTTAAAATATTTTTGTCCTTCCTTGCCTTTAAAGGAGTGCCCTTTGCCGTGCTGATGTTGCTACATGCCTTACTTCTTGACTATCTCACACTGCGAATTTTTTTCTATACTAAACATTAAATCTATACTAAACATTAAATCTGTTACGAAAAAAGAACTAAACAAAATGAACACAAAATGATCAGCTTTAAAAAAGGACTCGTAACTGGAAAGACCGAATGAAAAAAGAATGTTAACAACAAATACTTTTCCACATCCAACCCAGTTCTGCGGAATCAGAATCAACGTTGAGTTTATGCAAGCGAATGATCCAATTGGAGTAATGTACCATGCAGATTTAAATTTTTTCCACTTGTGACGAATGCAGCTATCGATTTTTTTGCATGCTAGCATGCTAGTTAACATTCATGTCAGTCAGCTGTCGGCTCTCACGCTGGCCAATAGAATCTTCCTGCCTACTCGTGGCAGCCAGCTATAGGCTCTCACTCTGGCCAGTACAAAATGGCCGCAAACTACAGGAAAACTGCCGTAGAAGCATGAAAAGTCGATTATTTCCATTATCGATGGGAGTTGGGAAATGCAAAGTCGGTCTTGGCCTTCCCGGGAACTTGGAGCATGTACATGCAAATTTTGATGCAAATCCGTCGAAAATTGCGGCCGTGCATTCGTTACACACACACACACACACACACACACACACACACACACACACACACACACACACACATCCTGCCTTTTATAGATAGAGATTCATTTATTGAATTAATTAATATATTGAATTCAAGATTGATACCGAATTTAAAATTTTGAACAGAAAAGCAAGAAGTTTTAAGAGGGTACCATGTGAGAAGAGAAAATGTTAAAATAGAATTTTGCTGTTACATTTAGCTATTTCAAAAGTAAAAAAGGTGATACCTTTTTTTTTTAAAACATTTAACCCCTAGCAAAGCGGGAAGCCACTAGCACGCAAGGGGTTATAGAGGATTTGAAGCGAGAGCAGGTAGTAATGATAGAGAAAAGGATGGGGAGAAGGATAGTGGATAGACCAAGGCAACCGGAGATGTCGATTGACATTACATTTGAATAGTTGGAGATTATAGCTATCAGGGAAGCAAGAATAGGGAAAGGAGTTCCACAGGCGAGAGGTGCGAGATATGAAGCTATTGAAGTAGAAGAGGCGGCTACTTCCAACAGTGAAAGGGTGAGAGCGGGATGCCAGCCTCGTAGGACGCTTGAATTCGCGAAGTCTGGGAACCAGCGAAAGAAGCTCATTGGAGAAATTACAATTTGCAAAAAAAGACAGAAAGAGGCGACGGCGTGTCTGCGAGAGAGCGACTGCAGACGAGATGCCACACCAGGGACAATTATATTGCATATCCGTCTCTGGATCTTATCAAGAACCCCGAGGCAAACAGAAGGGGCTCCAGACCATATATGGCAGCAATACTCCATGCAAGGGTGAATGGTTGATTTGTAGATTTGAAGGATCGATTCCGGGGAGAAAATTTTCCTGGCGTGGCACAGGGATCCAACTTTCCTTGCGGTGGACGAAGCAATTGACTCAATGTATTTGTTCCATCTCAGGTCAGTAGACAACGTGAGACCGAGCAGCCGCAGAGAGGTGCTCTCGAGAAGTTGAGCGTCAGACATTCTAATGGAGAGCAGGGAAGGATATCTGTGGTGATTAATAGAGAGCAGTTTTGTTTTGGTGGCGTTAAAGTTAACCAGCCAATTCCTGCCCCAGTTCACAACCGATTGGAGGTCCTTTTCGAGACGAACGGCCAGGTTAGTTTTGTCAGCGACACTAGATTTGTTTTTGAGGCAGGAGTAAATTGTAGTGTCGTGTACAGATTAAAAAAAAAACATTGTGCAGAAATCTTAATTCTGTTTCTCTCCGCATAAAAGTTAGTACCTTCTCTATAAATTTCGCAGATTCGTGCTTTTGCAATTGAGCCGTATTTTTAGTTCGCTTAAAATAAATATATTTACTGAAAATGCTGCCGATTTTCTGGCGTATTCAATGTTAGGGTTCAACATCATCATTATCGTCGTCATCATCATTATGACCGTGTATAGTTGCAGGATTGCTGTGTAACTGAGCATCTGACCAGTTCCCTGCACATATCGTGACTGGAAGCCAGAGATGTATTCATGCATAGCCTACTTTTGCCAAGTAGACCTGGCGGAGCCCATCTCTCCAGGTGAAACCACATCTGATGTCCTCCAACCTGAAGGCTCGCATTGGTCACGGACACATGGATTTAAATTCCATCTAAGAAATCATTCACCATAGAAAGCCTCCCAGCCAACGATTACGTGACAACATCGAACTGGTTGTATGCATAGCTATGAACACAAGGGAACCCCTTCTACAAGAGGGCCGATGATCCTAACAGAAGATTAGAAAAGACTCGTGAAGAAAACCGGTTTAATCGCTGATGACCAAACTTGTACTATAATAGGTGATTTCTTAAGTGTGGCTTAGACGTTGAACAAAGTCGAAAGTATGAGGCACTCGGTGAGGATCAAACTCTCTACTCAGTCGTAATTCTTCAAGAGAGACTAGCTTGCTAGCCATTACATCACATTGGAGTACCCCATTTTGTACTGTAAATGAACAAAACCTCAAAGGGTAATTTTTCGGCAAATGGTCTAAAATGGTAGATGTGAAGGACATTTTTTTAAAAAGTTTTTTCTATTATCTTTTATACGTTTCTTTATGATTATATCTTCTTTTACGTGCCATTTCTCTTCAATAGGTGGATGATCATGGCTCTCCATAGCATCCTATTCTTTGTAGTTCTTGGTAAGGTTCATCTTTTTGCCACCCGACCCACTCTCTCTTTTGTCACACATTTATACAAGTATGGTAAAGGGGTTACTCACTGTTTCCCCACCTGTTACTTTTGCCTTAAATATATCCCGTGGGTGTCAAATTTTCACAAGGCATAAACGAATGCGAGTGCCAAGTGGGCCACTTTTGGTAAGCAGAACTGGCGCTATGGGATGAACCAAACGTCCGGCTAAGGTGCCTAACGCGACGCCCATGAGATCCCCGAAAGGGTGTCGGTCGATATAGACAGCAGGACGGTGGCCACGGAAGTCGGAATCCGCTAAGGAGTGTGTAACAACTCACCTGCCGAATCGACCGGCCCCGAAAATGGATGGCGCTGGAGCGACGGACCGATGCCGGACCGTCGCGTCGAGGAGCGCTTGCGCTGACGAAAACGATGCGCGCGCCTGACCGATGCCGCGACGAGTAGGAGCACGGAAGCCTAGGGCGCGAGCCCGGGTGGAGCCGACCGCGGGTGCAGATCTCGGTGGTAGCAGCAAATATTCGAGACGACGGCGGCAGAGAAGTGAGACGGCTCCGTATTCGGGAGAGTCGACCCGTTCCACCCGTTCCGAGTTCGAGAGTAGGTCGAGGCCGTGAACGGCCCCGGGGCCTCCAGTCGTTCGCTTTACCGGATGGAATTGCGACGATCGAGCGCCAGCTATCCTGAGGGAAACTTCGGAGGGAACCAGCTACTAGACGGCTCGATTGGTCTTTCGCCCCTACACCCGGTTCCGACGATCGATTTGCACGTCAGAGGCGCTTCGGACTTCCACCAGAGTTTCCTCTGGCTTCATCCCGACCGGGCGTGGATCGCCATCTTTCGGGTCCCTGGCCGCTCGCTACACCAGAGTCGGCCGAGTCGTTCACAAGACAGGGGAGGGAGTGAACCGGGCAATGTGAGAACCGACTAACATCTATTTACATTTTCTATGGGTTAGTGATCTCATGATGATTATTAGGGCAGATTGATTTCTCGTGTGTTTTAGAAAATTAACATTGCAGTCAGTGTGAACGCTGGGATTTGATATACTAAATACAGCCACCAAATATCAGATTTATAACTTTTACCAATTTTTGAGCATTTAGTTTTAAAGTCTGAAAAATGTACAGAAATACTAATTTCCCGCAGGGTTTTGCTTACAAACTTCAAAATGTTACAATTTCAAGAATAAATCCAAATAAAGTTGATATCTTTTTTTTATTAGAAACATTGAATGGAAATATATTAAAACCAGAATTCTAATTATGAATCATCACAAGAAAAATATGCTATTTTTATTGTATTCGATGAGTAAAAACTGTATAAGAAATTGTAAAAGATTACAAAAATACCTACTCAGTGAATAAAATTTGTTATATCTTTTGTTAGATTATAATTAATAAAAACAAAAAATATATATACAAGTGTATATAACACCATAATACTAAAAGGCACAAATTATAAGACAAATGTTTTTAATTTGCATTGTTTATTGAAAATCGTGCTAAAACTACTACACATAACATAATACATTATAATATAGCGAAATTGTTCAACATAATTTCCCATTGAAGTAAATGAAGTGTTTATTTGTTGGCAAAATAAGTTAGCAATAATGTGCTTACGCCATGCGCCTTGTCCATAAACAATTTGTAATCCTTTAGGGAATTATAAATTTTATAACGCTGATCACCGAAATCAAATTCCACTGCTACGATTTTGAACCCAAATTTAATCTTCAAACTTATTTCCTCAAAAAACTGTAAGAATTTGGAAAAAAATATTTTGTTTCATTATTTATCATGTCAAACCCCAACTTTCAAATTGAGTGCAATACCACGGTCCCGAAATCAAACAGCCCTAATGACCATATATATCTGCGTGGTACAGGATATAAAAAGTTTCCTTTGAATTGTTGGTTTTAGAACGTGGGAACTAAGGATTCTATAAATAAAAATTAAAAAAAAAAAATTAAAGAACACTGCTGAAGAAAAAACATTTTATACTTTTCCAATGTGACTGAATGTTAGCATCAGAGTCAATTTCCTTGCTGCTCAAATAGTCATCATTTTGCTACTTCACTATAAAAAGATCCCGACAACCGCAAGTTTTCGTCTTCTTAATTATCAAAGTAAAGGTCCCCATAGACACAAAACAGCCATTATGAAGACGATCAACAGTGCTAAACTAATTTCTTCTGCACACATAATAAACATGTCGTTGATAAAAATAAAAATGCATCCTAAATATAAACAAGATAAAAGGCAATTCAAAATATAATTCGTAGATATATTACCAGCTATGACGCACGGAAATGAAACGTAGAAAATAAGATATTTTCAGTAGCCCATCGTACGCGCCTCCACACAGTCTGTTTTATAGCCTGACGATTACATTTAAGCATGAAACAGACAGTCACCGCCGGGTGTTTACTTCAATGTCACTTTTATATTTACATTCGCTCCTTCCCTGATACTGAGTAATTTAACCCATAAATATAGCATACCATAAAACTATATATATATATATATATATATATATATATATATATATATATATATATATATATATATATAAGTATGTATTTTGTGTATATGTGTGAATTATTTTCAGATAGAGTGTAACTGAAGGAACGAAATGAATTCATTATAAAGTCTGTCAGAAGAAGAAACTTCTGGAAGCTTTTTTATATAAGAGAATTGCGGACAAAACTAAATAAAATCAACTACAACTATAGCAACAAAGTTCTTAATTGTATAGCAGCAATGTTTCATATAAAAAAAATACTAAATTAAAATGCTACAATTAAAAATTCT